CAACCCATTCCTTTGGCATCCAGGGCAGAGCTCCTAGCCAGGACATCTTGGGGGAGGGCAGTCAGTAGAGAGAGGCATTTTGGGTGATCACCATGAGATTGTCCACAATACACATGAATTGAGGCCATCTATCCTGTGCAAGCTTTACTGAACATCGCAGGCAGTTCAAAAGCTGGTGGCATCACTGCTCTCCTTTCTTGGTCACTGGCTAGTCAAAGCTCCTGGCCGGTACCTCCCAGAGGAAGATGCATTGTGCAGAAGATTTGATCAGTTGGTGCCCATAGATTGTTTGTCAGCCAGTGACCCACTAGTAGTTCATCCTGGAAAATGGGCTGGCAATGCTTCCTTACCTACTGCCTCTTTTCCCCTCCCATTGACCAAATGTTATGACAACCTGAAAAAGAATAAGCATATATTGCTTATTTATATCTTATTTATTGGTTTCTGAGTATGCTGGATTTCCTTTTTGTTCTTAATCAATGTTGCTAATGGCTCTCTTTAACTTGCAGAAAGACAGTGAGGAAGGTAGCTGGGCTCAGGTAAAACCCTTTTCCTCTAACAGTTTTTCAACATGACAAACAGTAGTTCAGTTTCTGAAACTAGGAATGATCAGCCCTTGACAGATGAGAGTGCATTGCTTATGGAATATTTTAATGATGCCTGCAAAAGGGTTTTGTTTTGTTTTTTAAAGGCATTTTCACTTGAGCCCTAAACAGAATTTTCCTTTTATAGTAACTTCCTCAGGGACCTTCTTGGTCTCATTTGGACAGGCCCCAAACTATTTTGCCTCAAACCATCATCAACCTTTACTTACTAACCTAGGATTTACTTTGCATACATGTAATTTGCAAAACATGGCATCTAGATGTAATGCTGTGATGAGTGAATTTGAGAATATGGATGGGTGCTCTGTATTAATTACCAGCACTGAACCAGGAAATCTCTGGTAGTTACTTTTACCAGTGCTGTTAAATCAGCCAAATTGTCTAGAATTGATGAGACATAAACCCAGTAGTATTAAAGTACATACAGTGCAGTTAATGGACAAGCAATAGTCAAGATGGGAGAGTTCACCAATGTGGTGCCTTTCAGCAAAATTAGGTAGCTGAAGATGAGAAATTAATTGATGGGTTGGCACAGCTCTATTGCAAACTGCATTTCCTTTGCTTTTCTGAATGCCCATATTTGTACTAAAAGGATCTGTATGTCTACAATTTGGGAACTGGAGAGTTTACATATTACAGCAGTCACATGGCCAACTCATTATTCTTTTGCAGCTTGACAAAATTAAGATGAAATTATTATAGTACCTATATACTAATCTAGACTACATACTAGTCATCCCAATTGTGAATTGTGTCCTATGGTCTCACCGCTAGCACAAAGTTTTTACTCTGAAGAAAACATCTTTTTCACATTTTAGTGTCACATTCAATACTTTGGTTCCATTTATGCAATTCTTTGCATAAGTGCTTTAACAATATTATATAGCTGTCCAGAGTTGCTTTGTGTGAGATGGGCAGCTATATAAATGTGATAAATAAACAAGCAATGCTTTGCAACATAATTATGCTAAGTAATGCTTGTGCTAATTGTGCTAGTTATTCCACCAGTGCCTCCGTAACCATGGAATAAACCAACCACCACTAATATGCACCTCTTTTAAGTTTGCTATTAGCATTACCTTGTATATGAATAGAACTAATAAATCATATCTACAAATTGCTTGCATGCACAGCATCATTTTGGCAGAACCGTATCTTCTTAAGTAGATGAAGTGAATTACCTTTTTCTTTCCATATCCAGAATGATATTTTTTGGCAGACTTTTTATATTTGCTTCCTTCTATTCCCTCTGTTGCATGATATCCATGCAATTCAAAGTGGGTTGCCTTTGCTTATTCCAAAATGCTTTTTGTTTTTCAATTCCTAGCCAGACCCCCATCCGAGTATTTACTAGGGCCAACTCAACTTTCTCAGATCTGCTGAAGTTGGTTAGATGCTGCTACCTGGTGAGATACTGGACTAGGACTGCCATGTAATTAAAGTTCAGATACACTTCTTTAACCTGATGCCTTCTAGATTGTGGTTTGGCTAGGAATTTTAAAATCTGAAGTCCCAATGCACGTGTTCTCCCAGACTTTGGGGTAGGATAGCTGTGAAGTCATATTAGGTATAATAGATTCCTACTATATTATTCTATTGTTTTTAAACTGTAAGCTACCCAGAGTCATTCAGGAGTTGGGCGGCCTCCAAATCTTGTGTGTGTGTGTGTGTGTGTGTGTGTGTGTGTATTTGATCTGTCAGGCAATAGAATGGGGAAGACAATACTAGAAACGATTAAGGAAATAGACAAGAACAATTGTATTTGGTTTGGTAATTATATAATCATTTTGTTTCCCTATTTTTTCCCAAAGACTCTGGCTTATGGTGATATGAACCATGAATGGATTGGTAATGAATGGCTTCCCAGCCTAGGGTTACCACAGTACCGAAGTTACTTCATGGAATGTTTGGTGGATGCAAGGATGTTAGATCATCTAACAAAAAAAGATCTCCGTGTACATTTAAAAATGGTGGATAGCTTTCATCGGTAAGTTAACATATCATTTTTAATAGCAGAGCTGCATAATCTTCAAGCCATAGAGGTCTATGCAGCCCCTAAACGAATGATACATTTTTATATGACAGAATAGGAACATAATCAAACACCCTGGTAGTCAACATGTTAATTTAATGATATGATTTCTACATTCTTCTCTCAGTCTAAATCATTTGCCACAAAATACTTCCAGTATTTATGAAACATGCTGAATAAGAATTTTCCATAATGATAAGATGGTTTCTGATTGCCTTATGATGTTATTTTTTAAAATAACAGAACAAGTCTGCAATATGGAATCATGTGTTTAAAGAAACTGAATTATGATAGAAAAGAATTAGAAAGGAGAAGGGAAGCAAGTCAGCATGAAATAAAAGGTAATGCTTTACTAAAATACAGTAAGTTATTCTCAATGCTTATCCTGTAAAATATTCTAAATACAAATATTGTTTTATAAAAACACATTGAACTGCAAGTAAATGCAAAACATCACCTCAGAACAATAAACCTCCAGCAATAAGTAAGTGGGAACAGGTTTCTGTTTGGAAGAAGTATCCCAGGTGGTTACCTTAATAGACACCATCCTGTAATGAGAAACTACTAATTGATGGCATTCCATTAAGCATCTAAGCATTGTTAATCTAGAGATAGATGAACATTGGATAGGCTTTTGGTGTCTGTGTCCTTTATCATTATAAGCTCATCCCTGTGACCCTTCATGTGTGACAATATATAAGGGGAAAATATTTAGAGTTTTCGTCTAGCTTCATAATTCATTAGATATGCACCAAAGTATTTTTCCATTACATTTCTAGAGAATATCAACACAGATGTTTCTTGTTACGTCATATGAATTTCTCTCTAGAAATTTCATGTAGCCATTGTGCTAGAAAGATTGCTTTACATTGCTCTATCAGTATTATGGGAGTAATCTGAAACAGCCATATTAGGTTTAGTGCAGATCTCCAATTATTCTTCTGCTTCCAAAGTTTAGTTGTTAGCAAAATTCTCCTTTTTGTCTTTTTCACAGATGTGCTGGTGTGGAGCAATGACAGAGTTATACGCTGGATACAAACAATTGGATTACGAGATTATGCAAACAATGTGCTAGAAAGTGGTGTGCATGGGTCACTTATAGCCTTAGATGATAACTTTGATTATAGCAGTTTAGCCTTATTGTTGCAGATTCCAACACAGAACACCCAGGTACATAAATTAGCTGTTCAAAATCCATTCCACTTCCGTAGGATTTGAAATCTTTTTTTTACATTATTCCACTGGGTAATTTGTTTAACCATAGGCACGGCAGATTCTTGAGAGGGAATACAACAATTTATTGGCACTAGGAACAGATAGACGCCTTGATGAAGTAAGTAGTCTTATTTTTATATAATGAATTATGAGCAGCAGAGAATAATAGATGGTGGTTATGTCTGTATAATAAATGAAAATAAATACATTAAGGTAGAATGTTATATATTATTTCCATTGCAAATTTAATTATAAATAGATGGGAAAACTGGGCATGTCTAAACAAAATAGAGAAGTGTGAGAAGGAATTAGATATTATGGCTATGCTGGCTATATTAGAAAGAAGGATCTAGTCAAATTAATTCAGAATAACAAGTTGTTTGCCCTTCTATGCAAACTTATATAAATTCCTAGTCCTATGGCAGGATGAATCCTTATATTTGATAAATAATTTTTTTGTTTGTTTGTTTTGGCAGAAATAGCCATAATTGCCAATATGCAACCATTAATGCATATACCTGAAAAAAAGCAACTAGTGATAATAAGATATAAGTTACTCGAGCATCAGAATTTAAATGTAATTGTCGGTGTATGCTGGCTATATCCTAACAAAAGTAATCAGTGCACTTATTATTAGCCTGGTTTCAAAAAGGATGCAAAGGCCAACATGGGCCACTTAAGAATCTGATAAAGATTTCCATAGTATCCGCTTTTGGAAAAACTTTTTTTTCAATCGGCAATAATCTACTTTCCCAAGTATACAATTTAAAAAACAGGGAATGACAGCTACCCAAAGGTTTCAGTTTTACTAAAATTCAGTATTTGTTTGTTGCAGAGCGATGACAAGAATTTCCGGCGTGGGTCTTCCTGGCGAAGACAGTTTCCTCCTCGTGAAGTTCATGGAATCAGCATGATGCCTGGCTCTTCAGAAACGCTGCCGGCTGGGTTTCGGTTAACTACAACATCAGGACAGTCACGAAAAATGGCAACTGACGGTAAACCAGTTAACACCTACTTTCAAAATGAATGTTCCAACTTTTGTATGGCTGCTAGTTACATTTAGTGTAAAAGTTCAAGTAAATTACATCTACATCACAGCTAATAGAGGGTACAAGAAATACATCTTCAAGAGTCTGGGAAAAGGCAATGAGATTGTTTTCAAACTATTAACATTCTCCTTTTAAGGTGTTTGATTATTAGCAGTGTTATTTCTGAAGAAAGCATGTGATATATTTGATGATAAGAGAAAGCAATATTGGTCTTCTATGTAATTTAAGACATTTGGACAAGAATTAAATGTTTCAGTTGCTGATTAAATATTACTAATGATTTAATTCCTATTTCTAAATTAAAGCACGTTATCCAGTGCTGGATTTCTATCTCCAATTTCATTATTGGATTAATGCATTATTGGAAATCCAAGAGATCCTTCCCACCTAACACAGATGGATTGTTTTCCATGTCTCCAGTTCCACTGGAAGTCTATAGGTTACACAAGACATTAAATAAGAATTCTGATCACATGTTCAGGTTCTGGAGTTCATTTAGGACATGGACTGTGCAATTTAGACATATGAGCATAAACTGTATTTGAACATTTAGTATATAGGTAAATGTCTGCAGTGGAACAAATGTATTCTACCTTCCATCCAGGCAAAGAGTGATATGAAATATATTGTGTGATCCTGATTTTATAGATAATTGGGAAAATGCTTACTTTTGTTAATATTTATGATGAAGTAACATTTTAAACAAAAGACTAAATAGAGGAAATGAACTAATTGGCACTAAATAAGCTTAAAGGCAAAATAAAATAACTCACAGCTACTGATTTTATTAGAAAAACCTCGATTAATTACCTTTTCCCCCCCTTTCAAGTTTCTTAATATTATTGGGTTTCTATTTGCAGTTGCTTCAGCTCGGTTGCAGAGGTTAGACAGTTCTACAGTTCGCACATATTCATGTTGACATAACTAGCATGAAAAAGAGCTCCGAGCTGAACTAAAGTGAGTATTCAGATGAAAATACATGAAAGGCTACATTCTGTAAGGAAAAGAAATAACAATGATAGTATAGGCTTCTGCTGGAGGCCTGTATATTTCAGCCTAAATTTCAGCAGTGGTGGCAAACCTGTGACCTGGGCTGTAACATTTCAGGTTGAGATGGACAAGATACATAAGATAAACTATTTCTCCATGCCAAGAACTTTTGTTTTTAATATCTGGAATCCCAGGTGGGTCCCTCAACCCTAATTTCCCTAAGATACAACTTTGATACTAGTTTTTATTGCTGTTTGTTTCATGCTACTAACATCCAAGGATTACTGCAAGACATTAGAAGGGTACACAAAAATTACTGCATCGTAGGCCAGTTTCAGCCATGTTCCAGCAGCCACATTTCTGATGCAATCTCTGGACCCAACAGTAGATCCTGCCTGTATTTCTTCAGAAAGTAACAACTTACAGACAACTGTAACTTGTTTTCTGATATATTACTGTTATTTCAAGCTCAAATTGGGAAAACAAACTGTTGTTCCAACAGAGGAAACCACACCCCGACCAAAACTAGCAGGGCAAGCTTCTATCTATCTATCTATCTATCTATCTATCTATCTATCTATCTATCTATCTATCTA